GTTAAAAACGGGCCAAAAGAGACCTCCGAACTAGTAGGCTACCAGAAAGGGGGGGCCTTAAAGTTTTTGCTCAGAATTAGTTTTTAATCCCTGCATGATTTTAGTCATACATGATAAATATCAAATACGTTATAGCTTGACTACAAGTTTAAAAATGACGCTGCAATTGTTATAATTAAGGAAATTAAACTTACCATCATGAAATGTCTACACAGGCGATAATGCCAAAAAGAAAGAGAAACATCGGAAAATAGGCATATTTTATTCAAGACAATATTATATGACATCAGCATGCATTTATCATTCTTACAATCACCGCCAGAATGTCCAACTTCACCATGATGAACTTAAAATTGGGTTCTATTTTTCCTCAACAGTTCTCCTCACAAAACGAAATTCATTTCAAACACAAATTTGATAAGAACAGAGTGGAAATTATTAGCAACACCAAAATAACAGCAAAGCTAATGTTTTCTGTTAGTTTAAGCCCAAACTAAGAAAAGTAAAACCAAACTTTGTGGCAATAATTAAGACCAAACTGAACATGGTGTGTGTTTATGGTGCATGTCGGCAATGTTGTCTCTTCAGGGGTGGGGCGTGGTGGAGGTGGGGCTTGCGTAGACAATATTATCGGATATCGCAATATTTTTAAAGGCGATTATCGAGAAGATATTTTTGACATATCGCCCAGCCCTAGTAGGTTTTGCCTAAACTCTGCTTCCTGAAGAACCGAATTGTCACGGTACCATAATTTCAGTAGTGAATACAGAATCGTGACAGATTCCGACATCATGGCAAAAATTTAAATGCTTTTGAATTATTTTATTGAAAAAATGTAAATATTCATATAAACATTTTAAAGTGAACTACAGTGTAGTCTACAAGTGTTAAGTTAACGTTCCATAAATGAATAATAAGACATTGCATCTAGCAATAATCAAAGTAAACCGTAATAAAATAAGTGAAAAATTAAAAATAAATGAACCTATACAAGCAAAGGAATACATAAAAACAATAAAGCAAATATATAAGCAATGTAAAAGCTCCTGTTAGGTTTGTTGGGTTTCTGTGGGTTTAAAAAAGGTCTTAATTTGGCCTTCCACAATTTAAGGCCTTAAAAAGTTGCATGTTGCATGCATTGCAAAAATGTTTTGTTTTCCAATACTAATATTTAAGCATCCTTAAATTAAGATACATTTATTTGAAATGTAAAATGAAGTCTTGGAAAAATTGAACAAAATTAAGTGAGGTTATGCTTAAAACAAGAGAAAATATGTCAAATATTTTTGCAGTGTGAATAGAAGGTACAGTAAAAGTTATATCCATATTCTAGTGGTTGGGAGCAGAGCTATTCAAGCCTTAGGCTATTTTATTTTTTTAAAGGTTGGCTAATTAAAAAGTAATGGAGATTGGTTGGAGGTTGTTGCTAATGCAACTCATTGTGTGCTCCTTGTGCATTTACATTTTGAAAGTATACAGCCAAAAATTAAGGTAACTAAATGCAAAGTAATGCTTTAAATAATTGATCGTTCTTTTCATGTGACCTTGTGTCTTGCAGGAGGCGGTGCAGGTTTTGTTGAAGCACTCTGCTGATGTGAATGCTCGCGATAAGAACTGGCAGACTCCTCTACATGTGGCCGCTGCTAACAAGGCGGTCCGCTGCGCTGAGGCGTTAGTGCCGCTGCTTAGCAATGTTAATGTATCAGATCGGGCTGGACGCACAGCTCTGCACCACGCTGCCTTTAGTGGCCACCTGGAGGTCAGTGAACAGCCATTTGCATGTGTGTGGGTTTGTTGAAATTATGTTCAGAATTCATAAAGTGCTTTGAGGTACAATTGATAGATGAATATTTAACGTTATTTAAATTAAGGGGTTTTTTTACACACTGCAAATGTATTGTTTTATTAATGTCCTCCATGTGTAAAGTATGCATGGTTTTATGTTGTCAGATGGTGCGGTTACTGCTATCCAGGGGAGCAAATATAAATGCGTTTGATAAGAAGGACAGAAGGGCGATCCACTGGGCAGCATACATGGGTGAGACAGAGCGATTATTTGTTTTCCAGCCTCTTGCACAACCATATGTGGGATCTGTAAATGCAAAGCCCTTTCAAATCCTCAAGCCTTCTTTCTTTTTTTCTTTATCTCAGGTCACATGGAGGTGGTGAAACTGCTGGTGTCTCATGGTGCTGAGGTGACGTGTAAGGATAAGAAAGCTTACACGCCCCTCCATGCTGCAGCGTCCAGCGGGATGATCAGTGTAGTGAAGTATCTGCTGGACCTAGGAGTGGATGTGAGTGTTCGCATTGTCATACTTTCTTAACATGCATGTCTACTGGGCGATACTGAATATGTATGTACATTATAGATTTTGCAGAATTGTGAATATCATGATAGCCATTAAGTTTTATAAAAATAAAAATAAATGTGTCGTCTAGGGTTGGGTATCGTTTGAATTTGATTAATTCCGATTCAGATTCTGCATATCGATTCTGATTATTATCAATTCCCAGTTTCTATTCCAATGTGGTTAAAAAAAAAAAATAATGAAGTCAAACATCAAACATATTTACATGATGAACTTAAAATTGGGTTCTATTATTTTTCCTCAACAGTTCTCCTCACAAAACGAAATTCATTTCAAACACAAATTTGATAAGAACAGAGTGGAAATTATTAGCAACACCAAAATAACAGCAAAGCTAATGTTTTCTGTTAGTTTAAGCCCAAACTAGGAAAAGTAAAACCAAACTTTGTGGCAATAATTAAGACCAAACTGAACATGGTGTGTGTTTATGGTGCATGTCAGCAATGTTGTCTCTGCAGGGGCGGGCCGTGGTGGAGGTGGGGCTTACGTAGACAATATTATCGGATATCGCAATATTTTTAAAGGCGATTGTCGATAAGATATTTTTGACATATCGCCCAGCCCTAGTAGGTTTTGCCTAAACTCTGCTTCCTGAAGAACCGAATTGTCACGGTACCATAATTTGAAGTCAAACATCAAACATATTTACTCTGTCTCTTTTTGCACATTTAGTTGCAGTTGAATACCATGAACAAAAATCAGGAGGCTACATAAAAACTGGACTCATTTAAGAGCAGTTTGGTGCAAAATTGAGCTGCACGATTCTGGATAAATAATTTTTTTTTAATGGAGGTTATGGTTCTCTCATGCTTCTGATAGAAGAAAAAAAAGATGCACACATTAGAATCGATAGGCAGAATTCGATTCCTGACCTTAAGTATCCGATTCCAGAATTGGAATAGATTTTCGATTCCCAACCCTACATGACACTAATGTTATAATTCCTCCTTGACTTACAGCTTGTGAATAATAGAGAGTTTTAATTAGTGATTGACCAATATAGATTTTTTTGATGGACAATGCTGATATATATCACACTATTAATTTAAAATAGCAGAAAACATGCTGCCATGAAATATATTTATTAAAGTTGACAGTCTTAGTGTTAAAGTTTTTTAAATTAAACTATGAATCAATATGAAAAAATTTGAACTTGACAAAAGCGTAATCCCTGGCATTCTCAGTGCTATCAAAATAAAAGTCCTTGATGCTTTCAGAATAAAATCATCTGACACTCATCAGCCACACAGGAAAAAAAACACATTGGCTGATGCCAATAATTAAAAACAAATTGCAGTTTGCTTTACTTTTGTCTATTACAGCATTTTATTAAAAGGTAAAGTTTTTGTGTGTATTTTCATGTAATTTAATGGCAACAATGTTGCAAAGATGCTTCAGTTATGTGCCTGTTCATATTGATTAGAGCAAGTGTCAAAATGATGATAGCCATTTTGGCAGTGAGCAAGGTTTTCAGTTTGGCAAATGAACAAAATGGCAGTCAGTTTTATTGACAAGAACATAATAAAATGCTTCACTCACTACGTGGTTTGCTTTCAAACAGGCATTTGTACTTGTATTTGTGGGTGGTTTGGTCCAAGTATGGTTCAGACGGCATCATGCTAACTTTTTCATCTAGAGATCCACTTCAAAAGAACTAAAAAAAGTAGACTGCTGTGCTTATGAAGAACATGTATAACTAATTGGGCTGCACCACAATGCTTAAATTGGATGCACACCTCTGTTCAGTCTCGTTCAGTCACACATTCTATCACACTGGTTTGAAATTAAACTGCAGTGTGAATGACTGAACATTTCAACTGTGGACATGCTTACAGATGAATGAGCGAAACACATATGGGAACACGCCGCTGCATGTGGCATGCTACAATGGCCAGGATGTGGTGGTGAACGAGCTGATCGAGTGTGGCGCGAATGTCAACCAGGTTAACGAGAAGGGCTTCGCACCCCTGCACTTCACCGCTGCCTCACGGCATGGAGCACTCTGCCTTGAGCTGCTCGTGGGAAATGGATCTGATGTCAATATCAAGGTGGGTCCATTATGGCTGTACATGTTTGACAAAAATCTCCACTGAATCCCATTAAAACTTTTAATTGGTTATTTATAATTGCTTGCTTTTTATGCAGAGTAAGGATGGTAAGACCCCTCTACATATGACCGCAATCCATGGGAGGTTCTCAAGATCTCAGGCGATCATTCAAAATGGTGAGTCTTCAGTTTTGAAATTTTCCATTACTGATGTGCAAACCTGCAGTATCTGACAGTGTCTCGTGTTGTTTTGTTTCGTGTATGTGTAGGTGCTGAGATAGACTGTGAAGATAAGAACGGGAATACTCCTCTGCACATCGCAGCTCGATACGGACACGAGCTTCTCATCAACACACTGATCACCAATGGAGCTGATACAGCAAAGTAAAAATTCTCATTCCCATGTGCTTGTAAATTACTGAATATAACAGCTTTGTTTCATTGATGCATTAACTGTGGAAATATAGATGTAGGCAGAACTTCATTATTCAAACCTCTTTGAAAACCCAAGAATGTTGTAACTTATCTCACATTCATACACAGCGAGATGCTCCTGTCTGTCTGGCTGTAACATTGGATCTTTCTTTTAGGAGGGGAGTTCATGGCATGTTTCCACTGCATTTGGCCGCTCTCAGTGGCTTCTCGGACTGCTGCCGTAAGCTGCTGTCATCTGGTAAGTTGTATCACTGCTCAGATAGTCAGCCGGTGCACTTTTTGTTCATGGATTACATAATTTATTGCTGTGTAATAGTGTTCCCTTTTCCTTATGAAGATAAACTGAGCAAATCTCTGTCTTCCAGGCTTTGATATAGACACCCCTGATGACTTTGGAAGGACCTGTTTACATGCTGCCGCTGCTGGCGGGTAAGGTTATTTTTGATTTTATGGTCAGTGACATGATGACAATATTTATTGGTCCCAATCAAAAAAAAAGAAAATAATTTGTACACGTCTATTCAAGGTGTAAGTTCAATATTAAAATATAGATCAAATCTTTACTGATGGTTGCAACACAACATCATTAAAGGGGACATAACACACACACCCCACCATGGGATTGTGATGGTAAGTGATGTCTTCTTGGATCTGCAAGGCATCTTCATTATCCAGATCTTGTATTGTAAAAACTAAAGATACAAATAATTTAATTTCATTTAAATTACTGACTTAGATTAATTTATTCCTTTATTTATTATGAACATGATGTTTAATAGGATTATAAAAATGTTGACTTTATAAAGTTTAAAAATGCAATTTAGGGTACAAATATTGTCCCTTAAAAAGGGGACATAACACAGTTTTACCCAATCTCATGTTGATGTTGAGTACCTATAAGTATAGCATCGTTCATAGCTCCAAAGATTCTTTAGTTTTATCATATTTATAAAAGAAAGATACAGCTTTACGATTCTTTCTGGAAAAAGCCGAGCTCCTGGAGGCGCGCCGTGGGCGGAGCTAAAGAGTGACGAGCACTTGGGCGCCAAATGCCAACAAAACAGACATTTGATGCCGTTTCACTTACCGTCTGCAGTTCTGAATCATGACCGGGATCTTTTATAGCTGGGACCGCTCCATCTTTCAGTATCAAACGATGTGCAAATCCAGCTCGAACTGGGCCTTGTTTATAAAACGTTCGTCAACAAACACACCTGTGAAACTCCGTTGCTGCTCTGGAAAAACAAACTGTATCCACTGTTTACATAACGCTGGGTTCTTTAGGAAGCTGAACAAATTTATCTTTCCCTTACAACCAAAAACACACTTCTTTGGATTGGAGACATTCTTCCTGAACAAGTCCCGTGCAGCGCTGCCGCCGGATGAAGTGCGTTGATGGGTGCGATCTCGCTCTTGCTCTGGTCGATGCGGGCGCATTCTTCCAGGAGAAATTCCCATATAAGGAGTTCCACCCTCATTTAAGTCATTAAGAGCCACAATCGGGAAAAAACTCTCCAAAACCTGTACGAACCCGGAAGTACGATTTTTGGCACAGAAATACTCCGTCATATGTCCAAATTGTTTTTTGAAACTTTGTCCATGCTTAGCATGAGAATCCAACTCTTTTAACAGTGTAAACAACTCTGAATGCATGAAACAGCATTGTACCCCCCCTTTAAATTTAAACTTTTCTTGAAGATGGTATAAAAGTTTGTCAAACCATATGACACTACTAGACTAAAAGATTATTCTTTATTGTGAATACTTTATTTTTGTCATCGTCCAGCCTAGTGAAACCAATTTAATATTTCGTTCAATCAAAATGTGTTTTCCACCACAGAAATCTTGAGTGTCTGAATCTTCTCCTCAACACGGGGGCAGATTTCAACAGGAAGGACAGCTTTGGAAGGTGAGTTTACCTTTACACTCCCATAGTCATTCATTATGCTTTTGGCTCTATGATATTTTTGATTGTGAGATTTGAGCAAACAATCTCTTTTTTTAGGACACCTTTGCACTACGCAGCTTCAAACTGCAACTACCAGTGCCTGTTTGCTTTGGTGGGTTCAGGAGCCAATGTCAATGAGCTTGACAAGAGGGGCTGCACCCCCCTCCATTACGCCGCTGCTTCTGACGCAGATGGAAAGTGAGTTACCGTATTGCCTAAGAGTGATTGGTATGGATAACTTGTTAAACAACGTGCATTTACCAGTCTCTCTCATTTCCTAACTAGGTGCCTGGAATATTTGCTGAGGAATGACGCTAACCCAGGGATCCGAGACAATCAGGGCTACAATGCAGTGCATTACGCCTCTGCTTATGGACACCGCCTGTGTCTGGAGCTGGTGAGACGATTTAAAATCACGTGATTGGGTCTATGTTTTTAATATTTTTGGCTTACTGTATTTCTGTCCCCTTCATCAGATTGCAAGTGAAACTCCTTTAGATGTGGTAAGTGCTGTGTGACACACAACATAAACCTCTTTAATAGGGATGCACCGATACCACTTTTTCCAGTACTCGCCCGATACGATACTTTTATTTTTGGTACTTGCCGATTCAGAGTACCGATAACGATATTTTTATTGCATTTGTAAATTTTTTTAAATATTGGGTACAGAAACCAAAAGGGTATGTATAATGTTAGTTGGTTAACTTAATTTATCAAATAGATACAGTCAAACCAAAATTTATTCAGACACCTTCAACATTTCTCACATTATCACAGTTTATTCGCTATAGTTTAGAAAATGGTAATAAAATATGACAAGAACTCAGAGTTAAACTGTGTCAGAACAAATTCATCTTGATAATGTCAGATAATTTTGATAGAAAGGTATGTAATAGATTACAATCAACCAAAAATAATTCAGACAACTGTTAGTATGACAGTATTTACACAACTATCAATACTCGGGCAACCCTTAGCCTTAATGACAGTCTGTAGTCTCCTGGGCATGCTGTCACCCAGCTTCATGCAAACCTCAACTTTTTGTATGAATTTGTATCAATTTTACTGGTAGTCCACTGTATGAAGAAATCTTGGGTATAATTTGTCACAGTTTACTTTATTTTGCTATCCTCACTTACATAAATGAACTATA